ACGGATGGCGCCCAGGAAGCCACCGGAAAGAGCAGACAGGGTGAGGCTAAGCGCCTGGTCCTAGGACCAGAGCCCACGAAGTCAAAACCAGAAGCTTCCAGTTTTAACCCCAGGAGGTAAATACCACCCCCGTGGCTTCCCCCACAGCCTGGGAACACCCCAGGGCAGATGCCCAGTCCCCACGGCTGAACCTCAGAGAAATACACAGATTAAGTGAGGGAACCCTGGGGAACATGGAGGGTGTGGGTGGGGTGCTCAGGCGTGTCCCAGGCCACCGGTCCATGCACCCCCCATCACCGGCAAAATCGCAGTGATGGGGAGGGTTTGGGAAGCAATAAGACCTGGGGCCCAAGATCCCAGGGCCAGCAGGCTCAAGGGCCTGGACTGAAAAGCCAGCAGCCAGCATGGCAAAGGCAGGCTCCCAGGGCTGCACTCCACCTGGAGAGTGACAGGGGGAAGCCCTTCCCTTGGAGGCACAGCGGGGGCCAGAGGTACCACAGGTACCACACACCTGCTCCTCCCACCGGGCACTCTTCCCCCAAGACCAGGGGTGAGGGCGGCCTGCAAAGCCCCAAGGGCACCGCGGGAGGGGCCAAGAGAGACCACCGGCCACCACCCCTGAGCTTCCGGCTTTCCAAGCCAGACCGGCCCACCAGGCACTGGGGTCCTCCCGGGGTGTTTCCTCTCGGGGTGTTTCCTCCCAGTTTGAGTGGCTGGGGGGTGAGCCTGGGCTGCCCCCTTTCCCAAGAGAGCCCCGACGCAGCAGAGACTCTGAGGCTCAGAGAGTGAAGCTGCCGCCAGCCAGCGGGCCCACGTCGGGGGTGCCCTTGCCTCCAGCCCGTCGGCGCCACGAGCTCCACTTCCGAGGCACGTCCCTAGACCGGGGGTCTTACCGGCCCGCCCACACTGACACGGCCCCACACCCTGGCCTTCATAGCTGCAGCCCGTCCTGTCTAGGCTTCTCCCTATGGCTCAGGCTTCCTCCCAGGCAGGACCTCGACCCCCTCGCCGCTCCCCTCTCAGAAGTCTCCTCCCGATCCAACCCAGTGTCCACCTCTCACCCTGGACCCACTGGGGTCTCAGCTGGACACCTGTGCCCCCAAATCCCCTGCATAGTGCCTGGGAGTAAAGGGAGCCGTCCACCTAGAACTGCCCCTCCTGTCCCTTCTCTGCCCTGCCACCAAGACAACAGTCCAAGAGCCCATGTCTGTTCAAGCCCCTCCCCTTTGTGATCCCTGGGAAGAGACCAAAGGCCTGGTTTGGCCTCCTCAGGCCTCCAACAGTCTAACCTCCCTCTTCCCCCAGAAGCGCCGTCCGGGTAATCCTGCCACTGCTGAGCTCTGTCTCCAGAAGCTGCCCCAGCTCCAGGCCCCAGCCCCAGGGGGGCCTCCACCCAGTGCTCCACAGCCTCACGACCTCTGCACGGCCAGTGTGGGCCGCTGAGCCTGCTGCTGGCCCAGCCCTTGGTCCTCGAGGAAGGTCCACGGAGAGAGAACACAATGAACAGGAGATAGCCCAGCCTGGCCCAAGGCCCCTAGGGGCCCTGGGGCGGGCAGCTGCGGGCTCAGGGGCCCCCAGGGTCTGGAGGAAGGAAGTACACCCCCCTCAGGGGCAGGTGCTATCCCACTGCAGAGGTGGGGCCCCCCCACCTCTCTGGCCCAGGAGGAGGGCTCCCTGGCCTTCGGAATTTCCTAAAGATTCAGTAGCAGGCGGCGGGCCTCTGGAGGCCCAGGTGCTCATGATTCATCCTTTGCTGAGCCCCACGGGGTCTTAGGGGCTGGGGGCCCATGGGTTCAGCAGCCACACCTCTCTCTCGCCTGTGCAAAGGTGCAGCTAGCAGCGGTGAGCCCAGGCTCCTGGGCCAAGCTGCTGGTGGCCATGACCCTGCCCTCTAGCCTTTCTCCGCCCTGACTGCTTGCGGCAAGAAGCTGCCTCATCACGTCAGTGGGACTCGGGGCTTTGTCCCAGGGTCCCCGGCAGGCTACACGTGGCTGGAAGAAACCTGAGGTCTGCAGCGCCAGCTGGGATGTGGGCTAAAAGGAACCCTTGACGCCGCTGCTCAGACATTTGGCAAGTGCTCGGAAATGGACAGAACCCCACTGTCGCTCTGCTCCTGCGCCTTGAGGACAAAACATCCTGGAAGGGACCGAAGGGCCTCAGGAGCACGAACCCTGGACACGGGTCCAGAAGGGAGCGCGCCAGGGTCCACGCCCTCCGTCATGCCTGCGCAGACCGCAGGGCCCGGGGCCTCCGGGCTCCCCCAGACGCAGGAGAAGGTGGGAGAGTGCTCTATGGGCTCAGGAGAAGGGGCGCTAGGCTTGGCTGCACCGGGAGGGGGCTGGGGACCAGGTCCGCAGGGCAGGGAAGGGGGAGGAGCCCAGGCAGTGGGGAAGCCCCAGGGATAACCACTGACCAGGTTAGATCTCCACTGGTCACTTCAGGGAACAGAGGGTCCTGGGGGTGGGGAGGGGGCGGAGCTCCAGCCTCCAGGATCTGGGCAGGACTGCGGGCAGCCGCTGAGGTGAGGTGAGTGCTTAGTTGGAGATCTTGGTCTGTGGGGCTGAGCAGGAGCAGGGGGTCTGGCTGGTCGGGTAAGGTTTGGTGTGGTTTTGGGGCTCCAGAAGGCTGAGAGATGGCAGCGTGTCCCCTCAGGACAGCCGAGGGGCAGTGGGGAGGGGCCAGACCAGAAGGGGGTGGGGAGCTGCAAAGGAAAGGGCAGAGGCATGTGGCCTGAGGCCCACGCACAGAGCCACCAGGAGGACCTGTGCAGGGTGGGCACAGAGGATTCGGGGTTCTGGGGAATGGCAGGCAGAGGGCGAGCCTGAGGGGGGAGGCTGGGAGTGGGCTGGGCCTGGGATGAGTCCTGGCTTACTTTTTCAGATGGGGAGACTGAGTCTATCTGAGGTACTGCCTGTCCCCACATGAGACCACAATGCCACCACAGCAGGAACCTCCACATATAGGACAGTGAGGGCAGAGCTCAGCTCAGGGCAGGGGGGCTCTGCAGGGGGAGCTGGGTCAGCTCTGGGGGTCTGCCCTCAGGATCTTCTTCATGTTGTCCTGAGAACCACCCCCCCAGAGTCTCCACCAAGGCTTGACTCTTGTCCCTTCAAGGGGGGTCAGCAATCCCAGACGACAGCAGGGGAACGAGGACATGGTACTCATGCCGCGAGCCTTCTTCAATGTGTCCGGGTGAGAAAATGGTTCTGGGCTTGCCTCTGAGCAGGACACAGAGCTGGCTGGAGCACATGGCCACCCCACCCCGGAGAAGGGACCTTCAGGACAGGTCCAGGCACCGGAGACTTGCAAGGACGTGGCTCCTCTGGGTGAGTAACAAACTTGGGGACAAGCAAGAACTTGGGTCAGTGCGCCTGCCTTCCCGCAGACTCTCCCCTCAGGGCCTGCTGGCTGGGGGGAGTGCTGGTGACTGTCACTGGAATTTCAGGTGCCAGTCTCCATGTCTGGATGCCAGGGCAGGAATAGGAGAAGCCCCAGCTCTCAAAGAAAGCACACGTCTGCTTTACAAAGCCAGGGTACTCCACGTCCCAGGTGCGGACCCCCAGAGCAACCCAGGTCTACCCTGCAAATGTCCTCCTCGTAGCAGTTTCACAGGAGAAAGAAGGCAGAGGAGGACAAAAGCCCCGCCCCCTGCCCCAGAAACGGGTCAGTTCCAAAAACAGGTCACTCCAGTGTGAGTATGCGGACAGAGCTCTCAGAGCCCCCACGGTGGGGCTGGACCTGTCCCGTAAGTGACCAGCGGAAAGTGGCCAGTGTCAGTCACCTCCCACGGCAGATGTGTTTGGAAGAGACACAACGCGAGACTTCACGTGGGTGCTGGAGTTTTACTCTTATCGCAAGATCCCAGAAAGCCCAGTGAGGACAGAGTGCGGAGACCAGGCAGCCGGGGCGGGAAAGAGGAAGGGGCAGAGGGATGGCGAGTGCCTTCAAGAACCAGAAAGCAGAAATGAGAGGGACCTCCAGGGAGGGAGGACACAGAGCAGGCAGTGCTGAACGGGACACAAGCTAACCAGGCACCCGAAACCCCAGGCCCCCAAATCTCTGGTAGGTCCCCCCCCCCAGAGCCTGACCCTCCTGTCCTGCTGAACACAAGGTGCTCCCGCCTCCCGGTTCCAGACTCCCTGCCTCCTGCCCTTCCCTGGGGGGGGGGGGGTCCTCCCCCCCCCCCCCGCCCCTCCCCCCAAGCTCCACCTAGTAAGTCCCACAAGCGAGCATCGTTTCACAGCCTCCAAGAAGACCCTCCCTGGTGGGGGAACATGTCACAACTCTGGTCCTCCTAAGCTCTCAAGAAGGCTGACCTTCCCATCACCTTGCCCCGGAGTCACCTGTGGTTCCCACTTGCTGGCTCACTGGAGCAGGGTAAGAGAAATCCCACAAACCAGGAGGTTTAAAAGAGAAACACTGTCAAAGGAAAAATTGCTCCTATACATGGGGTTTCACTGGGTTTAATCTTGAGTCCAAAGGCTTTCTTTCTGCCCTGGGAGCCGACTCTCACTGCAGTCCTGGACGGCAAGAACCGCCCTTTCTCCCCACATCAAACAGCCCCACAAGCCGCAGACAGCACATGGGGCTGGGGGCGCCCCAGGGCAGGAGCAGCTCTGAGGTCTGCAGACCTGGAAGCGGCAGAAGGGAGTCTCCACACGAAACCCAGGAGCCTGGCGGGCGCGGGGCTCCGGAGGCTGCGCCGGGCCGGCGGGGACCGTGTCACCCTCGGCGACCGCCACAGCTGCTCCGGGCCCGGCCAGGCTCGCAGTCCGCGCCTCGCCCTGCCTGACCCGAAGGCCTGGCTCCCGGGGGCTGGCCGCGGGGCGGGGAAGACGGCAGACCCGGCAGAGACCCCGACCTGGGCGAACGCCGGCGTCGCGCTCGGTACCGGGAGGCAGGCGGGTCCCGCAGTCCCCGCGAGCCGGGCGGGCGCAAGCCGCAGGGGAAGTCGCGGCGGGGCAACGACCTCGAGACCCATCGAGCCCCGGGCGTCTTACCGATCTTGGCCACGCTGGCCACGAGGATCCACAGCGCGATGATGTACGGGTCCTGGACATGGAGCCACTCGAAGGTGACCACCTGGAAACCCTGGCTGTGTCCGTGCGCGCTGCCAGGCCCCTCCTCGACGCCCCGCACCCGCGGCAGCGCGCCGAGCGCCGGCAGCAGCGCCAGCAGCAGCCCCCGACCGGAGCCCGCAGCCCCGCGCCCCGACATCGCCGCCCGCGCTCAGCAGCCCGTTGGGACGCGCATGGCGTGTGGGTCCTGCTGCGCTCGGCGGGACGCGCTGCGCCCGAGCTGTCCGACGTGCGGGGCGGTGGGCGCTGGCGTCGGGCGGCGCGCGGCCGGGCGCGCTCCGGGTGCGGGCTGCTGTCCCGGTCCCCGCCCGCCCCGTGGCCTTTAATCCGGCAGCCCCCTCCCGCCCCGGGGCGGGGCCTTCCCGCCCCCGCTGCGCGCACCCGAGCGCGGACTCCGCCGCACGCCCTCGGCACGCCTGCCCGGCCTGCACACGCCCACCCCGGGCCGCCGGTCGCCCTGACCTCGCCTCCCGGCGTCCGCGCTCGGTGCCGTCCACCTCCCTCCCCCACCGCCCGCCGGGTGCTGGAGCCGGGGCTGGAGGGCGCAGGCCCGGAGGTCTGCGAAGCCGCGCGGCGAAGCGACGATGCGCAACCGCCTCGCTAGGGGCGGACGGCAGCGCCCGGGGCCCCGCCGGCTTGGCTGGCCGAGGGTGGGCTCCCGGGGCCTCGGGCGCCCCTCAGTGGCCTTCGCTCAGCTCCCGAGTTGCCTGGGACAGCTTGCCCCAAGCTGAGGCTTAGCGGTAGACACTGGATGGGGTGGCCGACCCTGCTGGTGCCCGAGGGTCCAGGAGGGGGCCAGCCCCGAAGCCTGCAGCCACGTCTTCAGCACACACCTGCATTTCCTAGCAGGATGAAACAACTTGTCCGAAAGCAGGTTCTTTCCCTCCAGACCAGGGGCGGTGCGGATCCAAGGCGTTCTTCCCTTCCCCATGCATGGTGGCCTCTGTTCCTCCCGCAAGGGACCCGCCACCCTGCCCTTGGAGCCAGCTGTGAGCGAGGGAGTGGGTTGCTCCTTCCACCCCAGGGCTTGGCCACCAGCGAAGTCCGAGCAGGATGTCCGCCATAACCCTTCCTGCCCCCACCGTACCCCACGATGGCTCACCTGGGCACCAGAGACGTCAGGAGGCAAGTGCCCCCGTTGTTCCCTTCCCCAGCCCAGGCAGCTCCCTCTCCCGCTCAGCAGGTCCAGCGACCGTGGGGCTGCCGCAAAGCCCTCTCGCCTTTGCCTTTGCCTTCACCTTCGTCCCCTCCACTTGCCCTGCCCAGCTCGGCTCTCAGGAAGGCCCAGTCCCCCCAGGATTCAGGTCCCTCTCCGACTTCCAAGCTGCCCTCCTGGGGACCTGTGCAACTGCACCCCCTGTCCTTCCCAAGGTCCTTGTCCCACAGCTGATCTCGTGGCTCGCAGGTGTGATGCAGAGCCCCCCTCCCTCCCTCCCGGCTCTTCCCCTCCATATCTTCTGACCTGCCCCCCACTCAGTTCAACAATTGTGCTGTCCGTGGGAACGTCTGTTCCATGAGTGAGGGGCTCATGGCTGCATCCCCCTTCCTGAAATGGCACCTGGCACACAGGGACATTCAGGGGAAGTTGGTCGGGTGGATGGACAGAGGCCAGGCGGGCAGGTGGGGGGGCAGGTGGGTGGCTGGACAGATGGAGGCATCCCCAGGTATCAGAAAGCACGTCAGGGTGCCAGGAGCTGAGCAGCGCGGAGCTGAGCCGGACGGCTTCCTTGCTTGCGTTCTCTCCCCAGTTTCTTGCTGGTGGAGGTGCTCCTCGGTAATGGAGTCGGGAGTCTGTTGAGATCCTGCCCAGCAGGGTGAGCTGGCTGGGTGGCTGGCAGTCCGGGTGACCTTTCGGGAGGGTGCTCTAGAGGGCTTCAGTCCTCTCTGGGTGTCCTTGGTGGAAGGGGCTCTGCAGGTCCCGGGATCCTTGGTCGAGGGAGGAGGGCTCAATAGGAGGAGGGCTGGCGTGAGCCGAAAGCAGCGTCCGACAGTAGGGGTTGGGACTGGCTGCCGGGATGGCTTTGTGTGGACCATGACGGGCTGGGGACCGGCTTCCCACTCGGCCGTGTCTCCGTTTCTCCCCCAGAACTGTTCTCAGCCTCCTGTCCTGGACGTGCTGTCAGCTGGACAAGACTGGGCTCCCCCAGCCCAGACACATGTCTCCGTTCTTCCCTCACTGCTGTTGAGTGACGCCTTTAGGAAGAGTGTCCTCTTGGGTGACGGTGGCCTTGCATTGCACGGGAAGGCCCGGTTCCCACCGGAGCGGCGTGTGCCATGACGCCCGAAGAGCATCTTCCGGTCGCTCTGCCCCCTTGGACCTTCACCAAGAGCTTGGCCCAAGAGCTCATGCCCTTTCTCCCTGGAGGGGCTGCTTCCGAGGCCCAGGAAGTCGTTCAAGGGGCGGGAGAGCTGAGCATTGCCACGCGCAGGAGTTGGGTCTAGAGGCTGGGCCTGGCGATCAGCCCCAGGCGGTGTGCGGCAGAGGCCGCAGGAAGGTCCCAGGGACCGAGGAAAGGGATGCCCACTGCAGAGTCAGGAGCGAGGCTCTGAAATGGGGCCAGCTTGTGGGGCTACCTGGCAGGGTTCGTGGGCTTGTGATGGATGAACGCACCTGGGCTCCTGAGAAGCTTGGGGCCCGACGGTGCCTCTGCCGGGGCCGCCCTAACCCTCAGAAGTCGGCTCAGGAGTGTGGGGCACTGCATCCCCCAACACCCACACCTGGCTGACCCCCTTCTCCAAAGCGCCCCCACGTGGGCAGGGGCCGCAGGCTGGGTGGGCAGCCCCACACCTCCCTGACCGAGTCCTGGCTTCAGATGGGGCTGCCGCGGCCCTGCCCCAGGCCTGCCATCCACATCCACAGCCACATCAGGCAGAACTCTGCTTGACACCTCTCAGAGGTGTGCTGGGCGCCGCTCACGCCACCGCGCGGCCATGTGTACCTGGGGGCCTGGGAGCGTGCGTGGTGGCGGGTGTCTGGGGACCTGTCCTCAGGACCCCGCGGGTGTAGGACGGTCTGATAACACCTTCCCCAGCCCTGCCATCAGGTGCTGCCTGCCCCTCCCCTCTCCACCTCTCCCCGGGGGACTGGGTCACCTGCAGGTTTTCCGGTAGGAGCAGTGTCTCAGTCTGCCTGGGCCGCCAGAGCCGGTGCCACCAGTGGGGGCTCACACCACAGAAGCCTGTCTCCTCACAGTTGGGGCTGGAAGTCCAGGAGCAGGGTTCTGACGGAGTCCAGTTCTGGTGGCTTGTGGGGGGCCGCTGTGTTCTCGGGGCTCTGTCCTCTGAGCAGGGACATGGGGAGACGGAGGGAGAGCTCCCTCAGCCTCTTCTTATAGGGCCTCACCCTTACGACCTCACGAACCTTAATCACCTCCGAGAGACCCTGCCCAGATACTGTCCCAGCCTGGGTTAAGACTGACTTATGAATCGGGGAGGGGACACAATTCAGTGCTTAGCACCCAGAAAGGGACCGTGACCATGGGACATACTGAAAACAGGTAAAATAATGCAAGTAACCAGTCCCAACCCCCTGCTCTCCTAAGCTTCTGTGAGCAACTGAACTTCAAAAGTATTAAATCAGAAAAATGTCACCTCTCCTCTGTCACAGTAACTTCTGCTTATGAATTCTACTCCTGTGGTTTAGGAAAACATCTTGTGCACAAACAGACAAAAGTTTTGAGCCTGTTTGGGCTTTAGGTGACAGCACAGGAAGTCTGCTAAGTATTTACTGTAACTTTAAATCTGCCCATACGCCGTCACCCCCACGAACTTACCTTTATACCCAAGGAATCACACCAGCTCTTTGTGAAGAGGGAAGGAAATCCGTGCTATTACCCTCCAAGCCAGCAATTCTGCACGGGCCCTTCTCCCTGTGTTTGCTGAGCACGTACTGCGTGCCCGGTGCTGTTTGCACAGACAGAGCCCCTCTGGGAGCCGGTCACAGCCATCACAATGGCGGATTCCCAGTTCCTGTCTCCCCTGGGATGCTAACACCCTGCCAGGGACCCCCTCTGAGCCCGGCACCCCTGCTCCACAACCTGCACCACACCACTCTGCTTGGCCGGGTCGGAGGTCTAGACCTGTCCTCCCTGGCTCTTAGGGACACCAGGGATCTTCCGTGACCGTGGTTCCTGGGACTACTGTGCTCCTGCAAGATCCCTCCCCCCAACCACACCTGACCATTCCCTGGCCTCCCACTCAGCCCTCTGTCCACTGACCTTACACAGACCTAGGCATATCCTGGTGGTCTTGGATGCAGGTGACCCCCTTCGTGGGAGCCCCATCTCCAGGCCCTGCCTCTTCCTCTGCAGGATCTCAGGCTTCTGCTTCTTTCTGGAAGAGGGAGCCCTACTGTGGACCACACCTCCCCAATATCCTCACACCGTCCATCAGTTGTGACTTAGTGCGTCCCCACGAACAGCCCTGAAACCCCATGCCATCTGCAGCGGAGGTCCAGGGCAGACCACTGACCCCAAGCTCCTGCAAAAAACCATCCAATGGGTCACAGGCTCAGACCTCCCAGAGCCCTGTTCCCGAGCACCTCCAGCTGCACCGAGAAACCCACCCTGTTCGGGAACACCCCAAACACGAGGCTTCACAGTTGAACCCAGAATTATGTAGGGAGGGTAACGGGGGCCCAGCAAGCTGGGGATATCCGGGGAGAAAGGTGGAGTAAATATTGGAAAAGCCATGCCTGTGGCCCCTCGGTGACCAGACTGCAGAGCCCTCGGTGATGTGCCCGCAGAGGCGGGAGGCCTCCGGTGAGATCAAGAATCCACTCAAGGCAAAGCCAGCAAGTCGGAGAGTGTGGACTGGAAGGACGTGTGTGTCCCGCAGCCACTCTGTGGCGTCTATAGACGTCAACGGGGACGCGGGTAAGGACAGGGGCCTGCACGGGGGAGGGGCAGCAGAGCCACTCTTCTGGGCATGTGGGATTGTGGCCTGCGAGGGGACCTGCGAACAGATGATTGCAACTAGGGAGCATTGGGTGAGCAGGGCCGTTGGCTTCAAAACCAGCCTTCTGCGATGAGTTCTAGTTCTCCGCACTGCCACAGACTCGTCCGGATACGAAAGTGCATTTAGACACACTGTTTATGTAGCATCAAAAACACAGAAAACATAGGGAAAAAATCTAACAAAAGATATGCAAGTCACAGAAGAATTCTCCAGTGAACACTGGAAATACTAAATTAT